CTCCCACCCCCACCCCCTGCTCTAACCCACCAGCCCCCACTCTCCTCCCAGAGCTGGGGAGAGAACCCAGGAGTCCTGGCTCCCACCCCCACCCCCTGCTCTAACCCACCAGCCCCCACTCTCCTCCCAGAGCTGGGGAGAGAACCCAGGAGTCCTGGCTCCCAGGCCCCGCCTCTATAGCTCAGTGGTTTGAGCATTGGTTTGCTAAACCCCAGGTTGTGAGTTCAGTCCTGCAGGGGACCATTTAGGGATCTGGGGCAAAAATCTGTCTGGGGATTGGTCCTACTTTGAGTAGGGGGTTGGACTAGATGACCTCCTCAGGTCCCTTCCAACCCTGATATTCTGTGATCAGCTTAATACTTGTATATCCTCTCCCCCCCCCTCCAAGTGCAGGGGACCTAGGCGCCCTGACACCCCTCTCTCTGCCGCGCAGGAGATGGAGAACTGGGTGCTGATCGGGAAGGTGATTGACAAGCTATGCTTCTGTGCCGCCATCCTGCTCTTCACTATCGGCACCCTCGGCATTTTCCTAATGGGGCATTTCAACCAGGTGCCCGACGACCCCTTTCCCCTGCAGCCGGACCCGTAGCCGGGACCCGGCCCTGCCCTCACCCGCCGGGGTACTGACGCACAATGAGGTAGCCATGCGGGCGAGTGTGATGTCTGGATGGGAGCCCCCCGCCCCACAGCACAGCACCCCCTAGCACCTTGTCCCAGGGCCAGTCACTTGACTTTTACCCACCGTCTTCTGTCCCAAGCAGCTGCAGGCACCACTACAGAGCTGGGCTCAGAAATACTGCTGGTACGGGGGAGGGACGCCCCACCCCAGACACAGACGCATGTCAGCACCGGGCGAGGGCTCCCTGTATAAACCCCACCCCAGACACGGACACATCTTGGCACTGTGAGGGATCCCTGTATGACCAGCCCACCCCCCCCCCAGAGGCAGCTGCATCTCAGCCCCATGTCTCACCCCTCCAGACCAGCAAGGAGATTCTGGGGACACAGCTCTTTGGAAGTAGCTCTAGTCACAGCACCTGCTGGGCTAGTGTAGATGGGCCCTGTGGCTTCCTTGCTCCCAACTCCAGAGTAGGCCGCCCCACATCTGGTCCCCCCTCACCTTCCCAACCTTGCTGCTTGTGGCTGGCGCCTTGGGTGTGTGGGATGAACATGATCACACACCAGTTCAAAGTCACCTGCTCCGGGCCGGGGGTTAACCTGCGTGCCGCCTAGGGTCACCCGCAGTCTGCTGCTTGGTGCCAACCCCCTGGTGTCCGTCCCCAGCACCTCCCTGAAGAAGCCACCCTCTGTTCCCTGTCTCCCTTCGCTTCTCCGGCAAGGTGGCCATCAGCCAGCCCCACACGCTGCCCGAGGGGCAAAGCCCCCGTGGGGTGCAGCCTACCTGCACTCAGTTCCACCAGCACAGGGTGAGGTGGTAGGGACCTGAGCCCTGCACGTTTCGTTACAGCAAAGCAGAAGTAGACACAGAGCGTGCTTTGGTAGCCCGGTCCCAGCTGGCGCCATGGCTGGAAAGATGGGGCCAGCACTTCCACTTCCCTTTTGTCCACTCCAGCAAATAAAGTCACGCGTTTTACCTCAGCGGGCATTTCCAGGCATGCTTCTAGGATTGCTCCGCAGGGCAGGGCCTGACCTGACTGAGGATTGCTGGCCAGTGGGTGCCAAAGGGCTAAAACGCTGCTGGAGATAGGAGGTGTCTCCCTCCCAACTCTCTGGGGCAGATCAAGGGAGGAGCTGGCAAGAACCTAACAAGAAGAAATTCCGCACTCAGGCGGAAGGTGTGAACTCGGCAGGGGGCTCCGACGTGAGGCTAGGATACAGACAGCCTTTGGAGAGAGAGAGCTCTCACCTGGGACAGAGTGAGAGAACCAAGATGGCATGGCCAAGACATGGAGTGACCGAACCTGCGCTTCTCTACGCTAACATCAGTAATAAACCCTGCTCTGTTCTGGAAAGGCGGCTGGGCACCTGGGTCCCTGCAGAGTGGACACGGCTCTCGCAGGGCAGAGCTCACCAGGTGAAGCAGGCTGGAGCCCCGAGGCGCAGGTGACCCTTCGGGGTCTGACCCACTGAAGGCGTTCCTCCCAGGGACTGTTTATCCTGTAGATCTGCGAGACGCTGCTGCAGAGCGTTACCGAGGTATCTTTCCTCCCCGCCCCCCAAAGCAAACGTGCCCGTAGGACCATGATCAGTTTACTGAGTTCAAAGCAAATAGAAGGGGGAGAGACAAGATAAAAACCTCGGCCCAACGCACAGACCTACACCTCGCATGCGGGTCGGCCATTGCTACCCCAGGGGTTCCGTTCCAAGATACTGGCCCAGTCTTGGCCCCCCCCCAATAAATAATCCAGAGCCATCTGGAGCACCCCACCCCAGTCCAGACAGAAGCTGTGTCGTCCTCCCCGCCGATCCTTTCATGTGATTCGGGGAACAGGGAAGAACTGTGACGTGACTGACACCAAACACACAGGAAGGGGAGGGGTTCCAGCCAGATCCTTGCTTTGGACCCGGTGAGAGCCGGGTCTGGTTCCCCGGCGGAGGTGCTGCGGTCTGGGGAGGGGGCGCCCAGGCATGGCATGGCAGGGCAGGGACTCCTTTTAGGCACTGAGGAAGAACTTCTTGTAGAATTTGTTCATCTGCTCGAGGAAGATGAAGGTCAGGACCGTGTGGGGACCCAGGCGGGCGTAGTAGGGGGTGAAGCCCTTCCAGAGGCTGAAGAACCCCTCATAGCGGATGACTTTCAGCAGCACATCCTGGAATTCAGAAAGCAGAGGTCAGTACGCGGCAGACAGTACTCCGGGGCCGCCCTGTGCCAGCTCCGGCCAGCTAACGCCCCTGCACCGGCTAGTCGCTCGAGCAAGCTGTGGGAAGGCAGGACTCCTGGGTTCTAGTCCTGCTTCTGTCACTCTGTAGCCTCCAGAAAGCCACTTCTCAAACTCTCTCTCTCTGCCTCAGTTTCCTTCGCTGTACAACCGTGCCTGAGCCTCCTTTAATGAATAGCGGCAGAGCACTGTCAGTCCCACGGCTTTTCTCCCATGTCCCATCTCTGACAGGCCACTGCCCCCCAGTGGCCAGATGGATTCAGGACAGGTGAAGAGACGCCTGTCCCCCTCTCGCACGGCGCAGCCTGCGTATATTTAAGGAGGATGCCACGCTGAACGTGACCAACGTAGGCCTTCACTTGACTGTCATCCTGCGTCCCCTTTGCTTTCCCTAGACACGGACATTTGGAGAAGTGTTTTCTCCCCCGCCCCAGTGACACCGATTCACACCCTGGGTCCACCAGGTGAGTGGCTCTGAGTTCAAAGCCTGATCCAAATGTTCCTCCACACCAGTGTCCTGTTCTCCCTGGCAGCTGCAAGGCAAGGCGACCGGAGGGGTTCCCTGCCAAGCGGGAGACTCCGAGATGGGGCAGCAGTAAGAATTCCTGAACTGACCACCACGGGAAACGTCCTAGCCGCGCAGTAGGGGCTCAGAACCCCCTGTATCTGAGCTGAGGCGATGGACTCCACGGGCACGGGCCCACTCTCACCACCAAACATTTACACTTGAACTTCTCCAGCTTCCAGCCCTCGGGCTGGGTTCGACCTTACTAAATATCTGTTCCCTGCGTCGGTACTTACAGCCCGGGATCCGTCACCCCTTCGCCACCTCTTCCCTGAGCTCCTGGAGTCTCTCACTCGCAGGCAGGGTTTTTAATCCTTCTCCTGGCTCTTCTCTGACCCCTCTCAGATGGAATCACCCTCCGGCCGGAACTGTGGGCAGCGTCTGGGCCCGATCCAGCAGTGAAATCGCCTCTCTGCCCCTACGCGAGATTCCCGCTTACGCAGCCCGGGATGGCGTTCGCCCTTCTGGTCACAGCGTCGATTATCCACCCTGCCCCCAATCTGACAGCCCCCATCCATTTCCCCATGGCCGGGATGGAAGCACAGCTGCGCTATCAATAGAAACCTGCCCATGGAGCGGCAGCGTGAACCCGCCCTCTGGACACAGGAATATTCATCAAAGGAACCCAACACGCCAAGGGCCCAGGACGGCGGATCCCAGCACCTCCCCCGTCTCCAGCTGTCACTTACCAGCCCATTCTTGTACTCCGGTTTCCCATCTATCATCCGCATGTTCTGAATCCTGCGTGCCCGGGGTAAATGGGGGAGGAAGCTTTAAGCCAGCAGCAGGCACTCAGCAGCTGAGTGCCACTTATTTATACACCGAGATCAGTTTCCACATAGTGAGGGATCAAGGGTGGATCTGGAACACAGGGAAACCTGCAGCCCAGACCAGCTTGCCCTGGGATCCCTGCAAGCTAAGCAAGTCAGTCTTTGAGACCCGCCCCCAGAACTGATGCACTATGGGTAATGCTCCCTATGTATGCATCCCTGCCCCTTGGGGAGGGGGGGGGAAGAGTTCAAATCCCGTGGCCTGTTCGCTGCTGACGGGGCGATTCCCTCCTGTGGTGATGGGCACTGCAGTCCCGTTAGGGCTGAGAACTCACCAACTCAGCTCACAAAATACCCACAAGGCAAGGCAGGGGTGGATTCCCCCAGCCACACAACCCTCCACTCCCTATTCCTGACCATCGCCGTGCCCCCCCTCAACCATCTCAGCCTGTGCCGAGGGCACACCCAGCGCTCCTGCCACTCGCCTGGTCTTGGCGATATCCACCGGCATCGAAGCAGCCGTGGTCACCAGCCCGCTGATCATACTGGCACAGAAATGGCAGAAGATGTTGTCTCGGAAGTAACCTGGAGAGGAGGGAGAGGGGGGATTTTAGGACCCCCCTGGAGGTCAGAGCTAAGCCGTTCGAGCACCTGTCTCACTGAGCATAGAGCAGGGGGAGCTGGGAGCCAGGACTCCTGGGTTTTCTCCCTGGCTCTTCCAATGAGATACTGGGAAGCAGCCCCACCCCCAATCTGTGTTTCAGTCCAATGTGGGTAACACTTAACTACCTCCTGGGGGGCAGTCAGGACTGGTTAACAGGGGACATGCACCTGGTTGGCTGGAGTGCGGTGCTATCCCTCAGCCATGCGTTTTATGTCAGACACAATGTGACCGGGACTTACCGGAGCCCAGCAAGAACTGCTTGGACTGAGAGTAGGAGGCTAACTGGGCAGCATTCACCACTACCGCTCTGGCCATGGTGGGGACACAGCCCTGTGAGGCAAAGAGAGGAGGGGCAGTTAACGGGGGAGGGGGGGATGACATGGGAAACACTGTGCAGTCACGAGGATGGGGAATCTAAGTGCTTGCCTTGCATGAGCAGCAGATGCCTGCCACAGACTAACACCCCTTCGGCCCCCTGAACGTGTTTGCCCATCGGCTGGTCGGCATTACACCCCATAGTAATATGATGATAGGATTATGGCATATCTCCGATGTATTTTATGCAAGATACGGCCTGTATAATGTCATTGAAACGGTTATGATTCACTGACAATGATTATCCTATTTGTATGCATGTCTCATTTGGGTATCTGGAGTTAAGAATATTGTTTCTGCATCTATTACAAATGTGTTTGCACCTGGGGAACACCCACCAGACAGAATGCAATCAGGCGAGATGGCTGGCTGGGAACAAGTCAACGGACTATTGGGAGAACAAAAGGTCTTAGAAGATGCTGATCTCCCCCTGGGGAGGTTTAGGGTTATGGTACTGGACTCCATCTTGGAATGCCAGTATTTTTCCACTGAGGGGCGTGGGAACCAAGTTTGAAAACAAAGGGGTTCCCGCCTTATGGAAAAGCAATTTAAGGTAGGGGAGTGGCATCCTCCTGGTTCTTCTTCACTGGCTCCCCCTCCAAAGGAGACGCTCAGAAACACCTGAGAAACAAGGACTGGACTGAGGGAGAAGGGATGGACCCAGGCGCGAGGGATTTCTAGCCTGTGAAAGGAATCCCTGGAGTTTTCAGCTGCAAGCAAGTGCCACTTGCCTTCAAGAATCTCTACAATCCGCCTAAAACAGCATTTGCTAGACAGCTCCAATTTCTTCAGCATGTTCAGTTTAGATTGTTTGTGTTTATTTACTAGGTAATCTGCTTTGATCTGTTTGCTATCGCTGAAAATCCATTGTCTGTAGTCAAACCTATTTTTGTTTTGTCTAAAACCAGTGTGTGGCAGTCACAACAGGAGGCAAAAAGCTGTATATATTTCCCCTCCACAGTGAGGGAAGGGGCGAATTTCATGAGCTTAAGCTGTACAGTTCCCTGTGCAGCACAAGACGCTATCGTTTTGGGTTTACCCTCGGGGGTGGGGGGGGGGGGGAAGGGTGCACTTGAGTATCTGGGCAGTCCCTTAGCTGAAGCCTTCCCGTGCAGAGCTGATCTCAGCGTCTGGGCCTGTTTCTGCAGCTGATGTGTCCCTACCTGAGTGAATGCTGGTGAAAGTGAGAGACCAGGAGCACGGCTGCAGCTTGTCACAGCATTACAGGGTGAGTGGGAGCCCAGGCTGGTGGGTCAGGCAGGCTCGGTGGTACCCCGGGGAGGAACCCATCATAGGCTGATCCCACAAACCCAGCTGCCCCCCCATCTCCCAAACGAATTCTCCTGGGTGCATCTGCCGCCGGGCCTAGCCCTCCAACGAGCGCC